GGTGGCGGTCCGCGCGAACTCGAACGGCGCCGCGTAAGGGCCGTCCTTGTCCGAGTCCAGGCTTCCCGCCGTCCTCGGCAGGAGGTGGAATTTCCCCTGCAGGAAAGAAATGTCGCCGAACATGTCGCTCTCCCCGCCGCTCCCGATGTGAATCGTGTGCCGGAAGTCGCCTAAGGGCGGGCTGATCATGTCGGAGGAGAGGATGTCTCGGAGTTTCTCCTTTTTACCCTTCCGGCTGCCTCTTTTCAGGTAAATCGGCACCTTGGTGGACATCTTGCCGAGGAGCAAAGCCTTTGCCCGGTCAGCGCCGTCTCGGGAGCCTCCAACCGAACGCTCTCTCGGAGGCGGTCGTCCTCCTCGATCCGAGCGACGTGGGCTTTAAAAAATAATCTGCAGAAGACAAAAAAAAAAAAAAAACAAATAAAAAAGCACATGCTTAGGAGCGGGGTATAACATTTAGGACAAAGCTTCTCCGCGTAAACACGTCTGGAAATTAATTCCAGACTCTCTCAATTGCTCTATCTAAAGTTCGTTGGCTGCGTTATCAATAGCAAAACAAGCCAGGTAATTAATTCCAGGCACTGAAAAAAAAAATAAGCGCTCTCAAGAGTTTATCTGCCAACGCGTTTTCAAGCATGAGCTCTTCAGGAAGACGAGGAACAGGGTCAGAGGCTGAAATCCAAGCGGACCCCTATTTTAACAGGGCCGATCGGGGAAAGGACTAAGGGGTTGGATGGGGGGTATAGTTAACGGTCAGGCGAACACAGCTTTGGAAAGCTGCTTTTCTAGCCCAAGAGATGAAGTTTTGCCTGCAGGAATTTTTGTTTTCTCCGCGGTCCAGCCCTAGTGCAGCTCCACCCAGAGAAAAGCTAGAAGAAAAATAATAATAATACAGTCGTGGGGGAGGAAGTTGGGTTTTTTTTTCCCCCTCCCCGTTAGTCATAATCCTTGCGCAACTAAAAGCGCAAGTGCCCAATTCGAAGAGGGACGGTGACCTGTAAAAGGCCCCTTTTTGCTGCGGGAAAAAGTTCCAGTTTTTGGCAATCATGGGCAAATGAGGCAGCGATTATTGGGGGGGGGGGGGGGGAAAGGTAAGAACGGGCATTTACAGCGATGAATGTCACATGCAGCCGCAGGAGGCACCTCACTAGGAGAAACCCCCGCGGTTAAGGACATCGTATTTAGAAACCCTAAAATACGCTTTTGAAAGCCAGCATGTTGATTTTTCACTTTTGCCACTAATTTCCTCCACAACACCGAGGAAAAAAAAACCATCTCCTCCTAACAAAAAAAAAAAAAAAAGGGATCTGATCTAATACAGGCTACAAACACAACGCACGATTTAAGCTCTTTAGAGAGGGGGCTTGTCCGGCGCGCCAAACCCCGACTCTACTACAAAAATAACCTTAAAACGCTGCTCAGCCTCCGCTAACGCCGCGTTTTAACACACAGCTCCTGCCAGGCTCTGCGCTACGCTCGCAACGGGGGAAAAAAGAAGAGATGCCGAGCGGCTGAAGTACCCCCGGCCGAATCCTCCTCCTCCTCCCGTCAGCCTCCGGACTACGAGAGATTTCGCAAGAGGTCAGTCGTAGCCGCCCGCGACCCCCGGCCGCGGCTCCCCGCCA